TTGGTAATACTTCAGTTCGTCATCCGAAATGTTAGCTTCCATAATTGTGAAAATGTCTCCATCATAGGTTTGCAGGATTTTCTGTATTTGGATCTTTTTGTCCGGAGACATTCCTCCAGCATTCCACTGGAGGATCTGAAGACATTGTGATTCGCCCTGGCGAGGGCGATTTTTCTTATAGCCTTTTTCAAAGCTAATCATAATTAATCGAAGTCAAAAACGTATGCCGATTGATAGACTTTTTTGCCGTAAGAAAATACGTTGTCCAGGGTGCACCACGAGGAGGTAAGTCTATCGCGCACCCCACATAAGTAAATATAATATCACAACGAGAAGATGGGTATTTGAACTAGATATTGAAGAAAGATGAGCTGTTTGGGGCTAGGACGTCAGTAGCTCGGGTAATATGGAAGAGGTAAGATGGTCTAGTAAAGAGCGGTTCTTGAGGTGAAAGAGTAATTGTAATGTGGAGTGGAAATCTTGGAAATAATGGATTTTAGACTTCGAAAATGAGAGGATCAAAACTAAAAATTACGACAAAGCCATGAATTCAGCTTAAGACATTTCTACAAGAGGACTTTGTCAGGGTTCACTTATTTCTGTCCAAGTCAGCTAGACTCTCTCTCTCTCTCCCTGCGAAGTACATTTGGTGATTCTTCAACTTCTCTGATAACCTACACCAAAAAAGTGCAGAAGCGCGATCACACATACGATCACACAGTGCAGCCACTTTCCTGAAATAACGGATATATTCTTCTTATCAATCAGTGCTCATCTCATCCACGAACATCGTATCGTGGTAAATGACTGGAGCTTTCTACTGCTTTGAAAGATGAACATATGCGTTATTCGGCAGTGCACTTGCACTCGTACACCAACTGTATCCTGGCCCAAGTGACCCACATAAACTGTCGGCATTTCCACTCGCATGCACAACGCGGTCACGTTTCCCTTTTCCACTCACGCGACTCCCTCTGGTCTTTCTCTCCCCCCCCCCGCACACACCCCCAATTCACTGTCGTAGTTTATTAGTACTCTTTGACCTACACAACTCGTTGTGTCCTACTACTTTTTTTTATTTTAACTGCCGGCAAAGTTTTATCTTCTAACCCCCTTCATTAGCTCATACAGTTTCTAAACTGGTAACAGTGTTAAGCAGACAGTCGTAAAATTTGGAATAGTTGTACATCCAAGCATTTAATGACAACCGCATGGAACCTCGACTTCAGGCGAATTGATAATAACTTAATGTGTCAACTGAAACAATGTACAAAGTACTAAATGTAGGGGTCTATACTTGTTTAATAATGCTCAGAAAACAAATAAAAGTGTTTGTGTCTTATGCAATGTCTTAATTGCAAGACGAGATAGTCAGCTCTTAACAATTAGAGCGATTGACCCAATTGTGGTGAGAAAAACTTCGAGTGTGATAGGAGGTTGCTGTGGAAAGCCAGAGCAGCATTTGTACACGACCTCACTAGCCACATAACGATGCTGCACTATTAACCCCGAATCGCTCCTCTTGGACTGGCAGAGTCGGCCAGAGTTCGAGGAGCCGCGGCTACTATTGAGAGGACCAAATGAGGCGCCAGTGAAACACGAACTGCATGAAATTTCTCGTCAACTCGTGTCCCACACCTACCCACTCTCTCCCAATTCACGCTCACCCCAACGCATTGTGTACTTTTCCATTTTTTCAACTCCAATTCTACCCACATATTTTTTTCTTAAGCACTTATATATATGTACCGATCCAGGGAAAAAATTAGGGACAGTCACATTGAAAGAATTTGATTTTGCCTTCTCCACCAAAATTTCACAAATTCGTAAATCGCACACAAAAAATACAATTAGAAGTCAGTATATAAAATCAACTCTAAGTAAATGCAAACTTAAAATGGTTCAATTACAAAAGAGGGTATTGATCGCTGTTCACTCGCAATTGGGAGAAGATGATTACTGGCCAGGAGTTTGATACAGCTCTCACGATGGGCACTAACCTCATTTGAAGCCTGGGTAATATTTGAAGGCCAACTGGCTGAAACTGGAAGAATTGAGCGGCCAGAAATGTGAGTGGCGAGTTCTGGTAACATTGTTTCGATACAACTCGGTTTGTCTCCTGAGACTAGACAGTTTAGTGTGCTTGGCAGGAGTTCGAGAATTCTCACAGCGTATACCTGAATAGTAAGTAGGGGCAAATAAGAATATCAGTGAGTTATTACCAAAATAATTAATGTGTGAGGAAAATTTGAGTAAGGGAAAGAGGTTTGACCGATCGGATAGCAATCTCCAAATATCGACGGCACAGTTTCAAACATGAAGTTGAAAGGTCATTGAGACAGCGCAGAGGAAACTAATCATCTTAGGAGACGATGGATGATGTTGTATTATCATAAGGAAAAATGATACGACTTCATTGCCTCCAACTTCTTATTCTTCTCCTCCAGTTCCTACTTCAGTCCAATTCCAGACTCAGAAGCCTCCTCATTATAAAAAATGCTATACGTTTTTGCATTGTCTTGGACAATACTAATATTTTTGAGTCAAGCAATATGAGTAGTTAACAGTAAGAGGTAGTTACGGCCAGCAATGGGAGTGGTCGAATTCGAGTTCAGCTCCAGCAAGCCACTCCTTCCTCCCAAGCAAACAGTGTTAGAAAACTCTTCATTGAGTTTAGAAGTTAATATAATGGAATTGCCCAATCAGATTTCAGTAAATCACAATGATCAAAACAAATCCAATACAATGCATTCTTTTATGTATAAAAAACGATTTCGTTCGACTTACAAGTTACCAGTTGTGATAAGAATACCCTAAAACCGCAGGGAATTTTTGAACAGTGCATCCATTGAAAAATACGACCATAATTTTCTTTAAAAATTCTTATTATGTCAGATAGAAACTAATGGCTAACAGAAGGAATAAGTGTTTTGAAATGACATGACTGAACAGCTCATAACACAATGAATAAAAGGGTGTCAATAAAGCGCTCCATTTTATTAAGACTCTCATTTATAATGCCCAATGGTCAATCCCCATTTAAATGGCCACACATGGTCAAAATTACAGTGAATATTTACATTTGGCCGTCAATAACGCCTAGTTCAAGTTCGCATAGAAACACAATTTAGTCAGTACAAGATTACGTTTATGTCTTTACTTTGCCAGGAATATTAATAACCAGATTTAAAATGCCAACCAAGTAAAAATGAACAAATTGAATGCTGACCTTATGGAAGAAGGCGGCTTTGGATATAAGAGACTTAGTGGAAGGTGTTAGAGTGACGACACGATTTGGATGCTGACACCATGTCTGAAACGAGAAACTCATGGTTAGAAACTTCGACTGCAATTAATCAATGATGAGAATGAGATGGACTCACCTCGTAGGCGAAATCGATATCAGAAATGTCAGTAGGAAGAAGTACATCATCGCTGACATAAAGAAAAGCACCAGATTGTGTCTCTGGAAGAGGATTGATTGTTTGTTCCAGTGTATTGTAGAAGGGTGAGACGATTTTCACTTGCAGCTCAGTTTGGCCGGTGATAAATGCTGAAAATTAAACAATCAAGTTGAAATTACTCAGGCAATAACTGACTAAACCATTTTGAAAAGCATTTTCCAAGCATCCTGCATAGAGGCGTAGACTCATGGATGCCTTCGGGATGAAATATATCCAGTATTCATTAAGACTACTCGTTAAGCCCAAATTTAAACGCTTTCAGACAGTTGAGTAGTTTTCAAGTAGTCTCAGTTTGTTCCACTGTTCCACGTACCATATAACAGTACATTCGACCTCACCTATAATGCAGACCCTACAGCAAAATATCTGTTTATCATTAATCCCATCCATCTAATCCTCATATTATTGAAATTTCGCCCGTTTTCCACTTGTCGCTTTCAACGGACTACATCACTTTTGTTCACTTATGCCAAAAGAATATCCACCAACAGTTTCTATTTCCTTGCTTTCCAACTAAATTGACGCCCGTGAAGGCAAGATTCTCCTACCTTATGATATATCTCTACTTGGTCAACCGTAAGAATCACATTTGAAACTGTAAAGTTAAATATCTTACTGGACGAGAAATCTGTTGAATCGCCCGTGTAGACAATGAATACCTCACGAACATATCTGGAAGTAGACAAAAAATTCACAATTGACACGGTGTACATTAGATGGTGTGATGTAGTCAGTAAAACGGTGAATTGATTGCAGATGCCCTGACCAAGGGGTGGAAATGAAATGTCCAAGTTCGCTGAATTCTACATAAGTAGACAAAAATTTAGCTAACAGATGTGTAATGAATGAAATCCGAATTGGCAATGGGCCACTTACAGGTTGATTGCGTGGATCATTCCAGTCATAATACGATGGCGATGATTCAGGAAATACCCGACTATTGATTATATCCAAAGTGGTTGTCACGATAGCGGTTAGGGAGGACATGTATTTATTGAATACATATTCAACCATCTGTTGCAAGAAGATAACCTCTTCATGCGAATAAGAGAATATGATATCCATTACATTCTTAAGTTGTCCATTGGGAATAGTTAGCGAACACCTGAAAATGCAAAAATACAACAGAAAATCAAACGTAATTATACGGGGAGAAAATAATGAAAGAACTTGAACTCACTTATTCCAGTCCACCTTTTCGGAAAAGGGTAGGACGATATCTGAAGAAGTAAAAACTGGAATGCACCCAGCCTTCATAGTATCAAAAAGAAGGGTCAATGGCGGTTGCGAAGGATCAATAAGGCAGAACACACTTGAAGATAAGACAACCTGAACGGAAGCTACAATTTTCTTAAAGGAGTAATTGTCCGTTTGTAAAATATGATAGACATGTGGAAGCGAGGAAGTAAGCTTAGAGATTATAGTCTTCGAATAACTTTTATTATTGTAACTCAAATCCACAATTTGATTGAATTTATCAGCGTAACGAGTTAAATGCTGTCCAATGTGGACTTGAGGAATCGCAAGGTAATAAAGATTGCTGGGGAAAATTTAGAGTCAAAGCCTACTTACCCTTCTTTATTACGATATATGAAGTCAAAATTACTGACAATAGGGATAGAAACATCATATGTGTTTCGAAAATAGGAGGAATTCATTCCCCCAGAGGCTACCAATCCCGGAAAATGTCGAATATCGAAGAGGTTTCGCCCAAAAGATAAGTCGTAAAAGGAACCGAATAACAGATGATTTTGATTATTATTCATCCTTATAAAGTCATCAAAAATATATAATATAGCATTACCATGGAAACGAAAGAGCCATATCAAGCAAATAAGATGAATTGTGATCGGAGCTGCTCATGAAATCCATAGAAGCGACAAAAACGCAAGCCTTAGATGGATCTTGAACGGCATATTTGCTGTTGTTTAGAACATTTAACAATTCCTTAAAATCCTGATTGCCATGATAGGTTATGTAATTTCCTTTTTCATCAACAAAATGCATTTCGTTATATACATAGATACGCAACTGATTTGGAATTTCATCAGGATATTCATAGACACAAGATTGTACATTGAAGCAAGTATGGTGAGCGCAACCCCCGTATGATTGGACTTTGTGATAATTTGATCGAAATGCAAGCGTAATAAGATTGTATGCCGAGTAAGATCGATGATTTAGAAATAAAAAACCGATAAATATCAGAGCAGATGTTGCAAGATAGCACGATTTCGACTTGGGAATCTTTAAGATATGCTTTAAATCAGGGATAGAGTTTCCTTTTCCTTTATTGTCCAACATTGTATTGACTTATTTGAGTTTCAGAGAAGCCGGCGAAATAAAAGCATCGGCCCCACATACAACGCGCGACTTGATTATACTGTTTATTGAGGTCGTAAGCCGTTCAAACAATGTCTTGCATTATAAAACTGTTCATATCAACTAAGATCATGTAATAAGCTTGTTAGTTTGCCCAAAATATCTAAACAGGATTGTCAGGTAACTGAGTTTGGTAATTTAATAAATTTCCGTTCATCCAGTTATTGAATATTCAGCCTCATGTGATAACGCTTGCTATATTCTACGAGTTTTCATTCACGTAAATCAACAAGTAATTAATAAATTTGTTTGCTTTTATCATTAACACTTGAGGTTGACACCATTTGTGCTAATTGCGCATTCTTCTGACTCATACCCTCTTTCTTATTCGTATCTAATGTGTTTGTAGTAAATTTTCAATTTACTCCCATTAGAGAACATTTAATAAGTTACAATTAATATTTTTGAGGTTAGAATACAGGATGTCTAATATCCTAGGTAAAACGAAAAATTTTAAGTCTCCTTATCTTCCACCGAAACACATATTTGAAAGTTTGTTAATTGCTAGAGACATACTAATGTGATCCTAAATAATGAAAATTTAATATATATTTAAAAATTTAAAAAACTTTGAATGTTTCTATACGTGATTGTTCGAAAAATTTTGCAGCCTAAAGCTTTTACTTTGCATTTACTAATAGTTATTATAACTCAACTCGACTTTGCCTCCATTACCAAATAAGCAGTCTGGCTAATTTATCCCTATATAATCTCAAAAGTCTCGAATATTGATTCAGATGCAAATTATTCTTTTGCTTCCGTTAAGTTGATAATTTTCCCAACTTTTTCTGTTACCATTTGAACTGTGGGATACGTCATCGCATGTCTGCACGCCAGGATTGGGAGGTGCGCCATACAACTGTGTGGAGCGACCGTACAAACAGTGACCAATCATTAACCCCTGTTTGTTTATCCTAATCCGCCATCCTGATCATGAGTAGCTCCCTGCGTGCTCACTTGATCCGCAATATACGTCCTGAATAAACGTGCTCCGTGCTACACGTCTGTTTCCTTTATAGCTGGGCTACAGCTTAGTTGGTTGTGAGAGTCTAGCTAGATGTTGGGGAATCTGCCATAGAGATTTCTGAGTCGGTCAGGCTTTACTAAGGTAGCAATCCACAATAGAACCACTATATGCAATCATAATGAATAGAAAATTTAGGAGATATTGAGCCAAAAGCATCATTGGATGTCTGTTAGCATGTTAGTCTATATAAATAGCGCAAAATTCATTTTAGCTGATGTCA